CTCTGTTTCACAAATATGACAAAAATTTGCGTTTAAAATTTGGTTTCTGTTTTTATTTGTTAGTTAGGAACTGGATATTTTGGAAGTCTATTTATTTTTTTAAATTGTTAGATGAACTTTGCATAAACACTTGTGCACAGTTGGGTCCGCAATATGTTACATATTTTGATAATTTATCATCACATGAACATTTTATATGAATGACAAGCTCCTGGAAACTGTCTATGCCGTGGGATTTAAGTTTTGCAAGACCCGCCGCAGAAGAACACAAAAACTCTCCGATCACACTCTTAATCTCATGGCTGTTAGACGGGATATGAAGCAGCAGTCTTTAGTAGATTTGACAGCATACAGGCAACTGAACAGACAGATCTCAAAATGCATGGAGCGGGACTTAGGCAACTTTAATACTGCTCGTAGTGAAGAAGCGAACCAGGCTCCAAAGCCTTTGCTAGAGATCTGTCTGCCAGAAAGAGCCAACTGTCGAAGCTGAAGACCGAGTGTGGCAGCGTCGTTCCCGGGACACCTGAGATTTTGAGTGAGATTGAGAGGTTTTATGGGCAGCTGTACACATCATCGTTGGAGCCACACGCAAGTGTAAGTAACGACCAAGAGCGAGTCTTATCCGACACTATTCCGATGATATTCCGGAAGTTAGTCTAAGCGAGATTAGAATGGCTCTCCAGTACCTTAAAACAGCAAGGCTTCAGGCGAGGATGGATTTACAGCGAAGCTTCTGAAAGTGGGTGGAAAACTAGTACTTGAAGTCCTTCAGAAGCTCTTTAATTCCGTCCTCCATGGTGGCATTACACCAGAGGCGTGGAGCAGAAGTGCGGTAATCTTGTTCTTCAAGAAAGGTGACAACGCTCTCTTGAAGAACTACAGACCGATTTCCTTTCTGAGCCGCGTCTACGTGCTGTTTTCGAGAGTCAATACGAATCGTCTCGCGCGCAGACTTGATGACTTCCAGCCTCCCAAACAAGCCGGTTTCCGAAAAAGCTTTAGCACCATAGACGTTAGCGTTAGCTCGAAGAATAGCTCGAAGATCCGACAAACGATAGGGGGAAGAAAGGTTCTTGAGTGGCAGCCTCGTACCGGTAGGCGAAGTGTAGGGCGACCCCCCACGAGATGGAGTGACGACCTGGTAAGACATGCAGGAAGTCGACGGATGCAGGTGGCTCAGGACCGTGCTTTGTGGCATTCCTTGGGGGAGGCCTATGTTCAGCAGTGGACTTATAAAAGGCTGTAATGATAATGATGATGATGATGTTTTAAAATGTACTACACTTATTTATATATTTATATATGTATATATATATATATTGTCATACATAATTTAATACGAAACTTAATGATGGAAAAATATATTATTTTTCTTGCGATAACTGAATCTTCTTCTTTTTCTTCTTAATTTTATTATTATACTTTTAATTGATAAAAAGTAGTCAAAAAGTAGAAAAAAATCCAATCAACAGAATCGACGTTCGACAGACTTTTAGATAGCTTTTTGAAACTTTTACGATTAGGTACATAAAAGTTCGGAGAAGAAGTTTCTTCATATTTTATATATAAATTCAAGATATTTTTTAAAGTTTAATTACATTTAATTATAATATATATACTCCATTATACGCCATTATGTTGAATAACTTGTTGACATCTTGTAGATAGTGACATGATGCCGTTACGGTATAAATAGTAGTTTTGACAGTCCTCTCTTGATGGTAACCTAACACTACCCAAAGAGTTCTGAAGAGACGGAAACACGTAAAAATCTGAGGGTGCAAGGTCAGGACTATATGGTGGATGCATTAATCCAACCAAGTTCTCTCAATTTTTGCTGAGTGGCCAAATACGAGTATGTGTGTAGTCTGGAGTTATCATGATGTAATACCACTCCCTTTTTGTTGATAATTTCCGGCGTTATTTTCTCAATTTCTTGCTTGAGTCGCATTAGTTGTGGGCAGTAGGGATCCGAATCGATGGTTTTTACCGGCGGTAAAAGCTCATAATAAACGATGCCCTTCCAATCTCACCATACACACAGCATCACCTTATTGCGTGTTAGTCTGTGGAGCTTAGCTACCCCTTGACTATGATCTTTTTCGCATCTTCTTGTCGTAGACGTTTTTATTTTTTATGAAAATATATTTTATATTTTTGTTGGTTTTATCATTTGAAGTAGCAATTACGCTTGAACACTTTTTCTTAAGATACTAGAAAATCCAAATTTAATAAAAGAAAATCAAAGTGATAAGTTCAGTTTTTCGAAAGATCTTGTTCACTTCCATACCGACCAACTGACCTCCAAGTGAAATTATTTTCAATTAACTTTTATTTCATAATAATCGAAATAAATAATCTAATAACTATGTTAGAAGTATTAGTTGAAATCACGTCTTGCTATTATTGTACTTTTTTGCATAGAATACTATATTATAATATCCTATGTATTTTTATCATAAAGTGCAATATAAAGCTGGTGGAAGTGATTTAAGTTGAGTGGATCGCGATTTTTTGATTTGGTGATAATAGACCACTATACATCCGCTGCGCGTTCCATGTGTGCAATATCTTTTTTCTAAGAAATATATATATATTCCAAGTATTTACTTCATTTCTGCCATCTCGAGGAAAATTACTCATTCATGTTTTTGTGATAGGACACTGGGGATCTAGACTACACAAAGTTATTGAAAACATTTTTTTTATACCGCTTCCTAAAATTTCTGAGTTCTGCATCATGGTTCAGAGTTTACTCTTGTTATTGATACAACGGAACTCAAAAAGCTATTGAAGTGAATTATACCGTGGAGTGACCACCAAAACGTTGCCACTACTTTTCTATGGGTAAACTTCACTTTAGGGCATTGTTAAGATATTTAACCTGAGTTCAGACATTGCGATTATAGTAGAAAATCCACTATTCATCACACGTCACAATTCTGTCCAATATAAGGATGATCGTCCTATATAAGGATTACTCCTTTCCCGAGGATACAAAGTAAACCTCTCTTACCATGTGCCCTGATATTTCCCAAAACGGAAACTTAGGGGATAATAGACAAGCGCTCTTCCAATATCATCGTCCAGAGAAACGTGATAGTAACATATCCTAGCAATTTTATTACATGAAAGTATATTAAGACTTATCTCCTCGATCCTACCTACCTCATGGACATCAGCTTTGCGGCATTCTAGTGAGTTTACACCATGAAGTATAGCGCTTATCTTACTTATCTTGATGACATAGTGCAGCTAAGCTCGAAAGAAATACGGCCTGCCTCTTTTTAGGGATTTGAAAATGCACTGGAGATTAAAAAAATGTTGGTATCAATAATGGAATAATATGTCAATCACATCTTCGTTTAACATCCATATGCATTTATGTATCCACAAGTTTGTACTGTTTCTTCCCTTCAATAATGCTTTTTATAATTCAAAATTTGGACCGTTTATTTATAAGCACCTATTATAAATCTAAATATATTATGTCTAATTAAGTTAAAGTATTACGCACTAAAGACAATTTTTGAATTTTAAATTATTTATAAATTGGGAATTTGATTTTTAAATAAGTACAATTTACATATTTAATTGTCTATTTCATTGAATTAAACTTTTGTTTATCATTGATCAATTGATAATTCTTAAAGTGGTAAACAAATTGCGTTGTCGTTAATGGAATTGTAATAATGAAACGTCGGGAATCAATAAAAAACAAGATAATTAGATGCGATAGAATCCGTAAAAGTAGTTTTATTAAATGTTTAATGTTCGCGTAAATACAAGAAATTATATGAAATTATTATTACTTAAAAGTTACAATTTTTTTTAATGAAATCAGTCAATCAATCCTTACAATCCATCAAAACTAGTGTTTTAATGTGCTGAGTTTGTGCTAGGTAAATAATATGTCACAGAATTTTAGGTTTAGGTTTGATTTAGGTTTGAAGAAACATTAAATCAAAATCTTCAAGATTTTGACAAAAGATAAAAGCCGGAATATGACAAAATGGAGAATTGATTCCATCATAACTGGGATTTTTTACGTGGTAGAGCCATGCTGCAGCTATATTAGTGGTATAGATGTAGTACGAATGGGTCGGCTCGACCGGGGAAGGACCACGCTCTCACAGAATACCAGCGTAAAATAGCATCTTAATGCTGCTGTGTTTCGTATGGTGAGTGTAGAGAACCGCAGACCTTTTTATTGGAAACGAGGCATTCCATCTTAGTCCTCACGGGTGACAACGCATCTGCATTTTGATTCGTAATCGAGGATAGATGTAGATGTCTATGGGCCACAGAAACTACTTACCATCAGGTGGACTGTGTGCTCGTTTGTCATCCTAATTCTTTAAAAAATAAAACCAACATTACAAGCATAGGCACTACTACCTACGTGCATCTATGCCATTACCACACAAAAAAAATTTAAAACGTTTTTATTCGCACGTTTACTGCCTTTATAGAAACTCTAATGTCTACTTGCACTAAATGCTGAAATTTCAAATACAATTCATGTTCCAATAAATAAAAATAAATTGTTAGAAAAACATTTTTGAATGGATGTGTCCCTTTTTATCCCATAGATAGTTGAAACTCGTACAAAATACATATCCAATAATAGGCACTTGGTATACCGGTATAAGGCTACGATTACCCGAGTCAAGATTTTTTTTATTCATGATCATTGGTAGCCAACCAATTACAATTTTTTTCTATACTACCCATTATATCTTATCAAGTTTTACCATGTCTATATCCTGTCCTTCCTTCTCACTGCCGGGAAGCTGTGTCAATACAAATCTAGATTATGAACAACAGCATTTCCTGGATAAAAATTATGCAGCGCTACATTTTCTTCCCACCTGCTCTAAGCATGATGATAGTGGCAAGATCACGCTTGGTTGGCCTGACAAGCTAATGTATGAATAGGTGAATAGAAAGCCACTAGATTTTAGTATATTTACTTTATTTTAAGTGTTACTTATTACCTAATATTGGCACTTTTCCCCATCGGCAGTATTTCGCAGAATCCAGTCAGTAAAGTGACTTACTTTAGTGTAGACTCCTGAAATTTCAGTCATTAATTTAAAAATTGTGACATTTTAGTTGTATTCATTTTCTATTACTCTTTATGATTTTTATAAGTTACCTGGATATCTGGGGTCGGCGCATCCAATTCCCCAAGAAACGATTCCTGTAGATTAACAAAAGTAAATCTTCAAGTGTCGTCGTCAAAAAACGATCTGTCTTTAAGTGCTTTTATAATATTACCACTCGCTTTTCCCCTCGTGATCTTTATTAGTTCATTGCAGGCTTATAAGAGTCTACGACTGAACATAGGTCTACCCTATTACCTCATATAACTACGATTTGCCATAGCTACCACGCTGTCAACTGCAGTTTTTATTATTAATTTGGGCTGTTATTAAAAAGATGCCATTTCCTGTTTCAATTCCCTCTGTTGCCTCTTACAACATCTATGGTATGATATAGGGTAGTACATTATTTTGAGCCGCTTCTATACAGCCTATCATCAGTTTATTTATGCACTATCTCTATATTAACAAAATATAATTTAGTAATTTACCTGCTTGCACATATCTTCCATTACTGTCAAATACTAAGAGGGGTCCACCACTGTCTCCCTGTAAAAATTATACATTTTTCACGCATTGTTTACTACAAATTGATTAATAAATATCTTCACTTTAATACGCGGTAGATCCACGATGTAGCTATATTATAGTTGTAGCACGAATGGGTCGGCTCGAGCGGTGTAGTACCACGCTTTCACAGAATACTAGCGTAAAATAGCAGCTAAATGCTGCAATGCTCCGTACGGTAAGTGTAGAGAACCGGAGACCCTTTTTACTGGAAAAGAGGCACTCCATCTTAGTTCTCAAGGGTGATAAACAAAATAATTTAAATACGAATATGGTCGTCATTTTTATATATAAAAATTACGGCATTTGCTCGTATTTAACCATTTACTCCGCATTTGGTGTTGTTAAAGTCTAGTATAAAGCCGCGTATCCACCAAAAATGTTGACAACAGTTATGTTTCCAACTGTTTACAACTGTTTCCAACAAGCGTCTCCACCGAGGGAACAAATGTTGGCAACAAGCTTATTCCTTTGATGTTGCCGCCGAAAATGGAAACAAGTTTTGTTGGCAACTGTTGTGTTAGCAATAAAACTTTGGTGGAGACGCGGCTTAAGAACGTATGATGCTCTTTACAACTTACAAGAGATGGCATAACGATTTACGAAGTTACTAGTGGTGACCTAGTGACATGACATTTACAGATTTGAATAAAAAAAATAAGTTTTTAAGTTTTTGAGGTCTTTTTGGCAAATAGAAGTGGAATATCCTCTATAATCATCGTATATGATCATCGACCTCCATATATACTAGTCCGCTGGACTGGCTACCCTACAAAATATTTGTGCCGATTTGAAGTGCCGTCATTGAGTATACCGGGAACTGAATTTGATATAATTTGCAAGTGATTGTTGTTTTGCTCAAAACGTCTAAGAATATTTTAAAGTTTTAAACGAGTAAAAGAGTATGTGTTGTGAAGTTCGGTTATGTTTCATATTAGTAATATAATAGAAGTATTTTTTAACAATAATCATTTAAAATTCGTTAACAGAAAGGAAGTGTGGTAACCTTCAACAAGTAAGGGGTTTTTTTTTTTATAGAATTAGGGTGACAAGCGAGCACACAGTCCACCTGATGGTAAGTGGTAGCTGTGGCACATAGACATCTGCATCTATTTTCGTTTTCGAATTAAAATGCAGATGCGTTTTCAGCCTTGAGGACTAAGATAGAAATGCCTCTTTTCCAGTAAAAAGTGTCTCCGGTTCTCTACACTCACCATACGAAACACAGCAGCATTAAGCTGCTATTTTACGCTGGTATTCTGTGAGAGCGTAGTCCTTCCCCGGTCGAGACGACCCATTCGTACTACAACTATACTATTAATATAGCTGCAGAATGGCTCTACCACGTAAAAAAACAGATTATATTAAAGATTTACAGTTTATATTACAAAATTAAAACTATTTGATAATATAGGATCTTAAAAATCTGTCGCTTATATTATAAAATGTAATGACTAACATGCTTGTCTTTAATTTACCTATTTTTGATCAACAATAAAATTCAATAGGGTTGACGAGTTCCTTGTCGATCATACTTATCGATGTTTTTTCTACCTATATCTGTTTACAACAATGAAAATCGCTGACAACAGACAATTATCAAATATTTATTAACTTACAGGTTTTCAACTGTACTAAAACTGTGACTAAAAAGCATAAAACTTGTGAATTGGCATCCGAAGCAAATTGATTATAACGTCAATGATTTCTGGTACGGTTTATTTAATGTAATTTAAAGTTTGTAAACTTCTAATTGTACCTACAGATATTGTTGAAATAGGCATAATATTTTGGCAGCTTATTGACATTCTCTAAATGAATGGTTAACAATAAATTCTTTATGAAATTATATTTTTATTTTGTAAAGTCCTTTTAAACCTCTCAAATGAACCATACCTACCCAGTGGTGAAACCCGGACAAAACCTGTTCTATAGTTACAAAGACAAATGTAGATATACTAATCCTGCATCGATTTTTGTTTTATATTAGATATAACGCTTCTGTCTAAGACATAATAAGTATTAATTGATAAATTTATTTATTGTATGGCATTGTATTAAAATGATAATTAAATGGAATGATAAATCTGAATTTAGAATTTTTATCGATATATACATAGTCACACTGTCCTATCTCTATTATTAGTTCCGTGGACGCTCACTTCTGCTATCAGCGATAAAATGTCAAAAATCAAATCGCCTCTTTATGTCACGATGTATAGCCAGTCCAGTGTACTTGTATAATATAGGTCAGTGCATATAATTTACAAATTTTGTTCTATAACGTCAACTGCGAGCGTGTACAAATACATCGTTAGAGTGTGTTGACAGGAATCGTTTCAATTCCCTGTAATGCCTATGAAATTTTTTTGTACATCCTTCTTCGTATAAAGTTTAACTATATCAAATATCACACTCTTCCGTGGGAGCAATATACGTAAAAAGGGGGTGCTAAGTTTTCTCCTCATATATTATTATGGATTTGCCACAAATAACGAAAATGTGATTAATAAAGTTATTATAAATATTCAAACCTGGCAACGGGTAGCAGTGAAAAAAGTCTGAGATGTCGGGTAATACGATCAAAAATCCACAGCCCAACAGAAAATACATTTCCCAATAGAGATCAGCTTGCAGACAGATGAAAATAATCCTTTATAAATAAAATAATCTTTGTACCTCATATTTCAAATGGCTTTTTATGTGATATGAGTAGGCAGCTTGAAACAGTCAACACACTAACATACCAATTGTAATTAAAGAAAAAAAAACATACCAATTGTATGATATATGTTATCTGTGAAAGGTACTTGATCTTCTGAGCAAAAGCTTGTGTTTACACATGTGATACGTGACAAATTTCTTAAGCATTTATAAATATCATTAAAAAATGAAACACGTTAGGATGACTGATAGATGCTGCACGAAAATTTGTTAGTATTGATACAATACGTCTAATGGCTTAAAACACTAATCATATACCTGACAACCGTCCTTTCCTTTAGAGTAAGCGCACATCATCATCGGCTTGAGATGTTGCGACAACTTGGAAGACCAGCATTCTCTGTCACTAAGTATATTTAAGCTGGCCTTCAAGAGGACATTTGATGACATTTTGTCAACACCTACACGCCCCCATCCGACTATTGTGCCAACATAACCACCGAATTCTTGGCCTAAATAGAAACAGTTGATTAATTTTTATGTACTATAGTGTGATATATAACAAGGATGCTGTGTATTAAAATGCTACGGTACGAGAAATGCTACAACATTAAAGATAAACAGTTGAATGTCATTTTATCAATATAATAAATCTACATAAAAGTTTTATCTGAAATACTATTACTAATTATTTACATAACTTGTAGTGGCGGTGTAATAAAATTCTCTACCAATTAAGTTCCGTGGGTGTCGTAAGAAGCGACAGAGGGCAATAAAATAGAAGATGGGCAGCAGCATCTTCTTGATAACAACTCAAAATAACGAAAAAACTGCGGTTGCAAACCCGGGGGCTAAGCATGGCAACTATGGCAAATTACTGCATAAGAGACAATCTATGTGAATACGTATGTTCAGCAATGAACTTTGATAGGCTATAATGATGACGATGAGGATGAATCAAATACTAATTATGCGGTGATATTTATCTGACTTTATATAAGCTCTGCGAAAAACTGTCTTGGTCCATGAATTCAAATCATGTCTTGTAATTTTGATTTCAGAGATGAAGCAAATATTTTTTATTTAGAATACATACATAACATATCATACGTAAAGAGATTAGGGCAAATATTTCAGTAATTTTTAGTGTTTATAGTTAGGTACCCCATGCCTAACTGCAAACTCTGAAAAATTAAGTGCACTAAAGAATTTAGAAATTCTGTGTTCTATCACAGTAAATAAGGGGGGACCCACTGAGAGATAAAATTGTTTAAAATTGTTCGTCGCATTTGGTGCTAATTATGGTTAGTAATTAGCATAACTTCTCTATTTTTTAATAAATCTATAATGTGGTCCGCAGTCGTGCGAAGACTTCACTTCACTTTTCACCCGTTCATTTACTTGGCTATTAACAATAATGTTACTAAACCGAAGTTCACAGATAATGCAATTATAAGTTAAATCTGTGAAAGTAAAGTTCATTCTTCCTAAAACATAATACGTGCCTGGGATGGGTAAACAAACCGGTGCAATCGTAGCACCAAAAGGAACAGGTTCATTCAGCGTAGCAATGGCGATATCATTCTCGTCTCGCATCGCCGTAGACGAAAACTGCTCGTGTATGACGACTTTAGATATATTTCTCTTTTGTACGTTCGATAAGTCATCTATATTATCCAAACCAATAAGTACTATCATATTAATTATGTTGTCCCTGAAATTATAGAGAAGCATAGGTATGAGCATAATATAAATTGGCATAAGTAGGTAGGTAGAACCAATCAGTAACCTTATTAGATTCCTGCAAGTTTTTTGAATATCAATTATACTAAATTGTATATGATAATGTTTTCAATAAATATTTACACGATTCTTGAACAATTTTCACCTTTATACCACATAGCGAAAAATCATATGTGAGATTGAACTTTGGACGACAGCCATGCTGGTATATCGAAAAATCTTGAAGGATATTCTCTCAGATTATTGTTTAAAGCTGTGGTAGCTCAGGGGTTAAGCGCTTGCTGTAAGTATCGCAGTACACGAGAAACCCGGGTGCGAACCTCGCCAACCGCACCAACGAAATTGTTAGTTGCAATTTTAAGTGCTGATTTACCACGTACTCTAAGGTAAAGGAAAACATCGTGAGGAAACTTTTGAAGAACCTTTTGAAACATTTGAAGTCCACCAACATACATTGGGGCAGCACGGCAGACTTTTTCTAGCCCTAAAACTTTCTCAGAAATGAAAGGAGGCCAGAGGTGCCGGTACCTATCTCGTTTAATCCTTTCGGTAATAATAGCTGCCAACGTAGTTTTAATCTTGGGGTATATCAACTTATACCAACCATTTAAAACAATGTCCAGCGCTGAGCACATGCTTAGTAGAAATCAAAGCACCACCGCAATGCATACGCCCATTGTTTATTATCGCTACAGTCCATGGATACGAATGAGGCTCCACTCTTCGGCCTCCCACTATCCTCATCGAGAGTAATGTGTCTTGCGGTTTGCCACATTCTGTGCAATGAAAATAAATATGTAAATCGATAAATTATTCATAAGTAATTAATTTCATTTGTATGTAATTGACAATTTGTTAATTATGTTGATAATATTTTTATTGTAATATAGCTTTCTTAAAGTTGTACTTTTTACATACAACTTTTGCTTTCATTATATTGCTTATATTATGATTTTAGTAACATTTCGATATTATATGTGTAATTAAAACCTGGCGCGGTTCGTCGCAATTTATTGTTTTCTTATCACATTTTGTATTGCCAGTAATTTTATTACGAGAAAACAATATTTCGAAGAATTTTACTTACCGCAATCTAATCCACTTATCAGCTTTACCTAAAAAGAAAAATTTCTTGCCTTTTGAGCTATCGATAATAATCAAATAAGATATTACAAGGGCTTTAAGCGCGATAGAATGTTCTGTACAAACCTGAATTATGATGGTATAAATTATAAGAATATACAACATTTTCCTTTTACTTTTAACACTTGATGCACTGGAGGGCACAGTTATCGCACTGCTTTCTGCTTACAATACTTAATTTTTATTTACGGCTTACGCGGCGAAAATTAACCACGGTAAATGTCCTTGTAAATTTAACACGCTTTACAATGTTAAATATTATCGATTTTTAAATCCTCCGTTTTCAACCTCAAATACATACAACATAACACTCGTATGCAACAAAACGTCTTAATTGGCTATATACTCGTAATTTTTTTAAAAATAAATTCTTAAGTAAGATTGTTATAGTGTGTGCAGGTTGCAACCACATGACGTCTTGCAATAAGTATAAAATACGAAAATATTTATATACAGTAGTATAGAAGCATAAAAATTATTGCATTCGATAGAAATAAAACAATTCGCAGGTGACGGGTGGTGGGCACTCACATATAAGGTTACCACTGAAATTAATAAACGCAATTTCAATTGTTGACTTGCACATACATGGCGGTGAAGGACTCTTGAGTAAAACTGCATGTCAGTGATATTGAAAATGTTTCTTGGATATGTGAATCTATCTTTATAATCTTTATTTAAAAGTAGGTACTTAATGTGACATAGTTTATTTTTCTAAATCAAACATGTTTTGCAATTGGCATAGAGTTAGTATATTATTTTATATATTAGTGATTATCATATTAGTCGTCATATTTTTACAGTTATAAAATTATGATTACACACTATTCAATAGCTTCAGTTAAACATGTCAATATTGTTTTTTTTTTAAATTTAACTGCAATACATTCCACCAACTGTTTCACTTTTGATCCAAGGAATATATTTTGACACAATTGTGTAGACACCTGAAATGCACATTTTGAAAATAATTAACATAACTTGAAGCTCAATATGGCGTTGATTTATAAATATGTACCTACTATTAAATGTTGTCAATTGCATATTTATGTACAATAAACAAATTATAGTTTTTTGCTTTATTTATTAATGTGTCCATCAGATGGACTGTGTGCTCGTTTGTCACCCTTATTCTTTCAAAAAAAAAAACGCTGTAAAGGAACATTAGAGTCGTGATAGCTTAGCGCTTGCCGTTAATCAAAGTACGCGAGCAATCCAGATTCGATCCTCGTCGACAATAAACAAAAACATCGTGAGGAAACCTATGAATGCCATATAAAACGTCTGGGAAATATAAAAGACAATAATAATCCGAAGACATGTGAAGTCTGCCAACATGCACTGGGCAGCGCAGCAGACATTTCCTGGCCCTAAAACCCTCTCAGAAATGAGTAGCGATGTTCGATTCGATTAATCGAATGATCGATTAATCGCTTGTTTAATTTTTGTGATTCGATCGATTAATATAAAATTGAAATAATTGATTACATCGATTATTTTATGCCCACTATACGATATTTCGCGATATTAAATAAAATTGATAACATTGCCAGTCACTTCAAGTAAAAAAAATTACGTTTCATTCGAAAACAACAATCTGTGGCTTTGTTTGTTTGTTTTGTTGTTTGTGGGTGGTTTAATTTGAAATTTTTCTTCGTTTCAAAGGGTTAATTTTTCTATAGAATAACATTTGGTATAATATTCTCAATAAATAATAGAGTAAGTGCCGTAAGGATTTTGACTGTTAATTTCCTTTATTTCTAATACAAAACAAAAATCGATACCTCCCACGTAAGTTGTTGTATCCCCAAAACTGTAATTTTACAACAGAGCATTTTAAAGATTCAAATTGGGCTAAAAACGGCATTTATTATTGTATCTTTATGAAAGTTGGTGTGTGAATGTAATTTATAGTATTCTTGACTATACTGAAAAATAATTTAAAAAAATATGTAGGTATATTTTCTGAGATATCGTTTGTACAACTTTTTACCGCGGAGTACAATCTGCGTCAGTTTTTGTATCTCATACTTACAACATTATACTGCGGAGTTTAGTTTTCGTCAGTTTTTGTATATGATAGTTACAACAATATTCACTGTAAAATATAAGTCTCATTCCAATAACTATATACATCGGTTAAAAATTTAAGTGTATATTATTGTGTGTGAACAAATACAATAAAAAAGAAACATTATCAAATACAATTTTCTTTAATTTTTTAATAGGAACGACTCTTTTAGTAATTTTTTAGGAACGTTGTTATGAACATTGCAATAAAAGTACTTAAATTCATATATTTGCATTAAGATCTTAGAAAACATATCAAAAATAAAAAAAGAACATTAATTATACTTACAAAAATAAATAATATATTCCATTACTAGGTTATCAAAATAAAATCGTAAGCAAAAAAATCATAGTAAGATTATTTAGAAACATAAAAATGCTTTTCTTTATACTTCAATTATTGTCTATAAAAATCTAAGCATAGCTCACTCTCTACGATATTTTAGTAATTTAACAAATTCTTCTGGTGAACTAAATAAAATATAAACATAAAAATTAAAATTAAAATATTATCATAAAAAATCAACATTATGGAACATAAAATATAAAACATTATTTGTACTTTAAAAATTTCTATGAGATCAATTTAAAATCAAGATAACTAGAAATCGGGTAAGTATTTATGATTATTGGCATTTGAACTATCATTGGTTTCATTCGACGCTTAAAATAAAAACAATTTTCAAAATTATTATTAAAACATTAAACAATTGAGTTAATTCCAATTAAATAAACCTAAGTTTTGGTTTCAATGTAGCCTTAACTCAATATAAACTAATATCTAATATATAAAATTCTCGTGTCGCGGTGTTTGTTACCGAACTCTTCCGAAACGGCTGAACCGATTTGTATGAAATTTTGTGTGCATATCTGGTAGGTCTGAGAATCAGACAACATCTATTTTTCAAACCCCTAAATGATAAGGGTGACCCACCCCAAAATATTTTATTTTTATTTTTTTGACTTTTTTTTTTAATTTTATTGATTATGATTTAGGATTTAAAAATACATAAAACTTCAAAATTTTCACCCTTCTACGATCAACCCCTGTTTTTTAATCGCGATTTTTAAAACTAAAAAATATTTCCTAGAAATAATGTATATGGCAAAACAACGTTTGTCGGGTCAGCTAGTTCTAAGTTAGAATCAATAATAAAAACAAAGATGCATTGTTCGCGCCAAATACTGGTTATCGGAATCGACGTCTAGGGGGCGCGCGACTCTGGGCGATACCGGTTTGAAGTTCGGCCGAGCGAGGCTAGTGGCGCGCGGGTCGCGAGCGAAAAAGTAGTCGTCTGCCAGCTGTGCTTGGAACAGCACGCTGTCATTTTTGTCGGGAACTCGGAATAATTAAGCGCGGACAGTAAATATACGGTCTAGGATTGGTGACGCGCATCCCTACTGGAGAGCTTCCCAGGGACACATTGTGTCTGATTCAGAATCGGCATAAGTGCATTCGGCAATATTAGCTAGTGCAGCCTGATATTCTAGAACTAACTGTTGCGACGCGAAACGGTAGTGACCTATGATCCGTAAACTCCGTGTGCGTTTTGTGCGTTAACCTTATAACCAGCGATAGTTAGTGGCTTCTGTAAGTTAGTAAATCGTACGATATAGTTAATTGACTGTCATCGTGTCGAACGAGGAAAGTGACTGTGGTCCGGCGCCGAAGCAGTCTGAAGCGGTACAGCATTTTGGACAACGCCTCGGAAGGCCCCCTCAAGTTGGAGCGGTGTCGACGCTGGGGCTGCTGCCGACGGCCAAGGTCTAGGTTCAATCACCCGCAGTCACACCCAGATACACATCACATCACCTTCTTTCCCTTTCACTACACAACCACATGTGACCTGACCGACTCCGGAGGGACCAGTCGCCTTGGATATAGGTAAGTAAGCTCCGCCTAATTCCTCTGCCGGTTGACTAGCGGTAGTATAGAACGCTCCCCCATATATTTAATGTAGTTAGAGAGATTCCACGTGGCCACATTGAGGCCCGACCTACGTCTGCTCGGGAAGTCTTCTGCTCATGGGCCCCTGAGGATTTGACCCTTTAAGGGAGCAGCCGTAGGCCGTAACAATCTGGTAGCAGAGCGTGGCTCCGGGTTCGATTCCCCGGTCGATCCCGACCATAGTGTTTGATAAAAATTAAACAATTCTGGTAGCAGGGAGCGTCGGTTTGATTGGTTTAATTTGTGTCTACAATCACGCCCGTCCGTAATACGTAAAAATATTTTTTTGTACGTAATAATAAAATTATTTTCCTTTGTTGCTTTGTTGCTTGCCTTTTTTTGGTTAGTGGGTTATTTGAAAAGCCGCGCCCTAGGTTACACCAGCGGGAGTTTTTCTAGAGATATACGTCATGTAGGTAGATGGTTATTTTTACGTAATCGATTAATTATCGTTGTCGGATAGTTGTAGTGGATTACTTATCGGAGGGTCGATTTCCGAGCTAGGCATTTTTTGTTGATCGACCGTGATGTGTATCTACGTTTGTATTTGAACTAAAGAGCAGTAATTGTATTTGCGCAATTTGAATTTAACTTGATTTGATCGCACTAGTATTT